TGGTCTATATGCTTAGTGTTCATCCTTATCCTAATATCATCCTAATCATCATTGGATTCCTTCATATCTTCATTTGATTTGTCTTAACTCATGTAAGTGTGTTTATTTGGTTGTTTTATAGCTATTAGGTCGTATGGTCGTAAACCTTAAGTTCGTCTTACTGAGATAGCTATCTTCATGGTCTTGTATTGTCTTTCCATTGTTCGGGTTGTCCAACACTTCAAGTCGTTCAACTCCTCAGATCAACAGACTTTTAGGTCGTCCAACCTATGGTATGTTAATGTTACTCATTTGATCTTTATTATCATGATTCTATTTGGGTCATCTATCGTCCGGTCGACCTAACCTTACTTAGTTTGTTCGTGTTTACTCAACTAGGGATATATAATCTAGTCCCCCCTTACTCCATTGTCACCTCGAGCTATGGAGTAGGGTCCACGGTAAAAAAGTTATGTCATGCCAGACGTCATAAATTTGGAAGTGAAAGGATATTTTGTCGCTTCGAATTATGTGCCCTTGATTTCCATGCATCATTTGGGCTGCATGTTGGCTCGTTGTCCAAGGGCTCTAAGTTGTTGGAGCTAGGTATATGCATCCCCATCACTTTCACAAAAACACTTTCGCTTTTCGAAAATCTAGAGTTTATACATATTCTCGGCAATTCCAATTCACATCAACTTTACTCTTTTTTTTTTGGCAGATTTCTCTAGTTCCTAGTTCCTCTTCTCAAATCCCGACGAGTGAGTATCCGCTTTATGTTACATTTTGATTTAGTTAAAGTCATTATCATTTTGAATTTCTAGGCATTATTAGTTGTTCTTCATTGCTCGTTATGTTCTTCCTTAGATTTACTTTAATTTAGTTTCTCGTGAATTGCCACTGTTTTGTGTGTTTTTCTTGGGTAACATTTCCCTTTATTTGTTCTTTGTGGGTCGCATCATTATTTAGGCTAGTTTTTTTTTTTTATTTTATTTTTTTGTTTTTTATGTGAGCTATAATAACTAGTAATTCTTTCATTCTCCCATTTGAAGTTGTGTTATAGATATGTCGAAATCAAACTCCGACTCCTTTAGTCGCCTTGTTGATGAGCACATCAGGTAGTCTACTACATAAATAATTAGCCCGAAGTTAACTCTGGTCGATCAACCTGGCCCTTCTAGAGGGATGGTCAACGAGTAAGATGGTGACATAGATTGGGACGACCTTCAACAAGATGAGAGGTCGTCAGATTCCCGTAGAAGTGGGAGTTGCAGATTCCTTGCCCCACCGATACTTACTCCAACTCTCGTGAGGGGTTTTACATTTTTCTCAAACCAATTTTTTTTTTTTTTTTTTTTTTTTTTGTGTTCATTTTGCTATAACGTACAACCTGATAACACTTAGTAATTTGAATGGCTATCCCCTTAACTAAATCTCTCCCAATGATATCCATATCATGGTTCCTTTTATAATTTTCTCCAAAATAAAAGTTCGAGAGTTTTCTCCCGAGATATTCTTCTATTTTTCAGTTTGAAATTTCAAAAAGACACCCACTACCTAGGAGCTCGTAGTGGAGTCAGATTCTAAACGATCTATCGTCTAACGTTACTTTTTGGAAAACCAAATATTTTTTTGCTCGACCTCTCTCTAGTTACTATTGTTTTGCCAACTTCTAGTTGACGCAACTACCTAGCCAAAAGAATAAATTGAGATCAACTCGGTTTGTCGAGATCATGTCGACCTTAAATCAAACTCCTTGGAGTGCCCGCCACATAGCCAAGGACCTTACCTTGAGGCATCAATGTGGGTTGACCAATTAAATGATGTGCCATTTGTTTTCGACCTAGGTAGGTCGTTTGCTTGTATTTGGTTTTCTTATTCGTTTATCTTGCTTTGATCGATTCTGCACTCTTATTTAGGTCGTTATAACCCTAAAAAATTCTGCACATTCTATCTCTAGAGATTCCATGTTAAGAAGAAAGATAAGCAAGTGAAAACCTATACTGTCGCGTAAATTATGCCTCGACCCAGTTTGAACCGCAATCAGATGATTTGAACCGTCTTGAAGCTCCCGATGACTTGCAATATGCAGAGAGTGATCCCGACTAAAAACACTCCGAAGCTCAAGGCAGTTCACACTCAACAACTATACGTCGAGGAAATATATTTGCGCGTGTATGTGTGTTGTGTAAAAATAATAACATGTATCCCTTTTTTCAGGCGAAGTTACATGTTGACTCAATGACTTCTGATGAGATAAGAAGTCTACTTGTATCCCATTTCCTAACAAACGAATCTCATCGTATCCACATTTCTTGAAGATGCAGATTTCTTTATTAAAAATGACTCCAGTCTCTCTCCCAAAATGACTCACATGCCGAACTCGCGTCCCCGAAGCCGAGATGGAGAAGAGCAACTCCATCAAGGTTGTCAGCCTAAGGACCTTGTGACTTGTCGTCCTCCTAGATGCCCCTTAGCCAACTCTAGGTATGTCGCCGAGTTTTCCATGTTGAGCTAGCCCACTGTCGAGCTCCTAGTTTCTTTAGCCTCGTGTCCCCGTGTGATTGGGACCTGGCTTTTGAGCCGTCGGTAGGAGCCGAGCTCATCTTACCCGAGATGATTTATCTTGTTATATCATCTAGCCCCTCATTCTCCGGCAGAGCTGCAAGTACCTCGGCTAAGAATGTGATTTCTTTAACCTCGATGTTGCTTGCACCTACACCTTTTTTCCATATTTGCCAGTCATGCCCTCAGGTTTCGGAAACGCCACGTCGGGCAGCGTCTTGCACAAGCTTTCTTCTTAACCGTTGATCTAGATTTCAAACGAACGATAACAATTTACTGACCTTTCATGCCATTGTCGATTCACCTTCCATCACTTCAACCGTACACGTTGTCCTCATCCAACACTAGATACAAAAAGTTTCCATATCTCAATCTCCTATAAAACCCACCCTTCAGAATTGAGTGCCACTTTTGCTTCCTTGAATTTCGAAAAGCGCACAACTCTATTTTTATTCTGATGAACTTGAAGAATAATTTCAGCGAACTTACAAAGTCTTCACCAGCATTTACACACATGTTGGTTACGCTATACCAATCGCACAACATGTTAGACGATTTCAGGGTATGTTGTTTTGATTATCCCTATTTGATATTTTGTAGTTTCATTCATTATACTCCTTATGCATATGTTAGAGCACGTCGCTTCTAGAACTAACTCAAGCTCCCTAATTCATCTCCTTCACATTTTGCACCCGTATGACAATACTCCGTCACCTTAGCCCTTCCGACCCCTTCAAGTGGGACCTCAAAGATGGCGGCGATTGCCTACGTTAAAGCAAATGGGATCTCTCCCCTTGTCCGAGCCACACGTACTAACCCTATTTCTGCCTATTTCACAGATCAAGTAACCCAAATTTTCAGTATGGTCGAGCTACCACGAGGCTGGGATCTTAAGATCCCATGACCCGACAGCTTCTTCCTCGACCAAGTAATATGTCGAAAAATGTGCACGTTTTATATATTTAATAGCGTATTTTAGTATACTTGATTTACTCGCACGTTTATATTTTTTGGCTTATTTATTATTTGGTTGAATTTATTTTCTTTGATTATTTTATGTGTTATTTTTCAACATATTGGAGTATTTTTGTGCATGGCAAAATATTTGACCGGAGTTCTTATGAGCTATTATAAGGCTTTTCAATACGAGATCAAAATTAAGGCCCAATTACAACGCATTAAAGAAAAAAGCATGTTGACATCATTTTTAGTAAACCAAATTAAGTGACATTGATCAGCCGATTAAGGTCAGTATGAAGGTAATTAGAATTTATACAAGTATGTGACACTTCCACTGACTTCAAGACGACTGCATGACGAGAGATTCAACAAGAACCGACATCTCCATTACTTAACCGATATCTCATGTCGGTCATCACATGTCGGTCACCACATGTCGGATACAACATATCGGTTGTAACTGGATGAACCGATATCGATAATATGCCATCTCAGCATTGTAAGGCGGCGACAACTCAGCATAAATCATCATTACGTTTGTCCAAGTGGCGAGCTATTAAGAGAAGTGGCTAGGAGCCGCCTTTGACTTTTCAAATGTAATGATTGCTGTACGGATAAATGTTATACATAAATATAAAAGTAGAAAAACAATTCTCCAGGAGGGATATATAGACAATAATAATATTTTACCAAAAAATTCCATCTCCTTTTAATATATACAAGTTCCTGTTGATGCATACTGAACTTACTTGAAATCTACCTCAATTAGATCGTTGTTAATTTTCATTTGACAACAGTTTGGCGCTAGAAGGAGGGCCGCTTATGTTTTGAAGTTAACTTTCGCCTTTAAGCCATTTTCGCACTCAAAAACTACCATGTCGCAGTCTGGTCGAGATCATGTACCTCACCCTGGCCAGAGCCAATCGACTAACCATTCTCCACGGCGTACTACACCACCTCCTCCGGTCACGAATGTCACGAACTTTCTTCAAAATCCGGAGTTTATCCAAGGTTTGACTTCATTGATAGCTCGAGCCATGCCCAGAAACTCGAGCACGATACCATTGTCGATGCCGTTAACTACTAACCCAACAGAACATCCAACCCATACTCATCATGACCATGAAACACATGTAGCGACATCACATGCCACGTCGCAGCCTCATCATACTTCTCCACGTCAAGAAGAGCAGGCTCATGTAATTGCTAATCCCGTAACGAACAATCAAGTCCCAGGTCAACCTCCTGTGCAGGAGATGACTGCTGAAAGTCATTCTGCTCATCACCAGAGAGTTTCGCCACGTCCTAGACCCATCTCGTCAGCACCTCACGCTCGCGAAGATTTACGACGCCAAATTGAACGGAATCGTCTTTCAAGGCATAGTGCGGAGGAAATTGAAACTCTCCGTAAGCGTTTGGCTGAACTTGAAACGCGACAGAAGTCACAAGAAGATTCACACCGACATGTTACAACGTCGGGAAATGTTATTGTTGAGGCGGATTCTCCTTTAGCCCCCGAACTTACTGCAGAGGCACTTCCTGTGAAAGTGAAAATTCCACAAATCGGCATGTATGATGGGACATCAGATCCAAATGCACATTTAGGCCATTATATGTCTTGGATGGATTTACATGGGGCTTCAGATGCTTTGAGGTGTCGGATGTTTTCACTTACACTGGGGCCACGAGCCCAAAAATGGTATTACACTCTCCCACCTCATTCGATTTGGAAATGGCAACAGTTACGTGCAGCCTTCCGATCACACTTTATCGGTGCTCAAATTTGTCTCATTCCGAAAGAATCGATTACCAACATTGTGCAAAAGGACGACGAGACTGTTAAAGACTACGTGGCTAGGTTCAACGACCGAATTCAGAACATGGAGCCCTGTCATCCTGAAACTTTGTTAGTAACCGCTATTGCTGGACTGAAGCCCAACTCAAATTTTCGTTGGACCTTGTGTCAAAATAAGCCTGCTACATTTCAAGAGTTTCTTGTGCGAGCTCAACAGTTCATTATTGCTGAAGAATCCATGTCGGTTCCCAGTTTCGACTTTTCGGTGAAAGAAAGCAAGGCTGAACCGGATACTAAGAAGAAGAACAAGAAGAACTTTTGGAAAGCACAATTTCGTAACTCCTCTAAAGGATATGAGAATACTCCTGAGTCTCGGGCTGCTCGTGATCAGTATTCAGACAACGTCAGGACAGGTTATCATGCCGTTTATTCCGCCGGAGCAGCCACCATATATGAAAAACTGAAAGGGAAGGGAATTATACCAGACCCGAGGCCTGTGAGAACTCCCGAAGACAAGTTGGACAAAACCCGGTATTGTGCGTACCATAAGTCTCCAGGATACAATACCTATGAGTGTCTCGGTCTTTTGTCGGCACTCTTATGTTTAATCGGACAACCCCAGCTTCAAAAGTCTCGAAATTTTGATAACCGCCGGAAAGGAAGGCCCTTGGATCTTTCAGACGATGAAGATGAGGACAACCGACCTGCTAACCAGAAAAGGGCTCGTGCAAACGATAAGGAAGTTTTTACGTTTTCTACTCATGTCGGAACCTCGACAAATAACCACAGGAAACCTAAGATGCGTGATCCCGTAGATTCTTCACATTGTATACCTCGAGTCAACTCCAATAACAAACAGTTAGATACGTCTCGACGGAAAATCAAAGCCTATGCCCGGGAGGCACAGAATGCCGAGAAACGAGTCATGAATGTTGATCTTCGAGATACCATCAACAAACGGAATTGCCCTATCACGTTCAGTATTGAAGACGCTAATTTATTCGCTCATCCTCATTCCGATGCTCTTATCATAACCGCCCCGATTGGGGGGATTCCTGTTCATCGGATCTTGGTCGACACAGGAGCCTACTCAAGCATTTTAATGCTCCGCACCTTCAAGAAATTGGGTTTGGACCCAGCAGACATTAGACCGTGTAACGATCAGATTCAAGGTTTCAATGGAAGCATTTCTTTCCCTGTTGGCGAAATATTACTCCCTATTCGGTTTGGTGGCTTTGGGCCGAAGTCCAAGATCATTATGGAAACTTTCAAGGTCTTGGATGTCCATAACGAATATAATGCTGTAATAGGACGAACCGCGCTTTATAAACTTCGTGCTGCTGTGTCGATTTTTTATTATGCTTTGAAGTTCCCTACCATTGAATGAGAAGGCACTCATTACGGAGATCAACGAGAAGCCCGAAGTCTGATGTTGCTCTCGACCTCGCGCAGCTTTCATATGATGAAAGAATAAGATGCTGATAACTCCGTTGTGCCAAATAATTCAACTTCTGATGCTGAAAGAACTGATCAGTTCATCCCGGATACCGACATGCCTCAAGCAGATACCGACTTGCCGCTTTTCAGTACCGACGTCCCTATGACGTCGGTCTTGCCTGAAACATCAACTAAAATCCTCGATCAAGAACAACCTTTTCATGAAAGAGACATAGAAATGCATGAAGATATGGACCCAAGGATGTAGTTCAAATATGGAAGTCATCACGTCCGGGCAGAACCCGTTGAAGATATCGAAATCATTTACGTGGACGGGTCGGCTCAGCAGAAATCGCTGCGTATTGGGGCCAACCTGCAAGAACCCATTCTGTCAAATTTGATTCAGTTTCTCTAGTCAAACGCTGATGTGTTCGCTTGGAAGCATGAAGACATGAAAGGGATTGAACCATAGAAAGCATGCCATCGTCTCAATTTGGACAAAACTGTCAAACATGTTATTCAGAAACGTCGGAAATTCGGCCAAGACCGCCAGAAGGCCCTTGAAGAGGAAGTAAACAAGCTCATAGATAATAAATTTGTCAAAGAAGCCAAATACCCGACATGGATATCGAATCCTGTCTTGGTCAAGAAAGCTACCGGCCTTTGGCGTCTCTGCATAGATTTTTAAGATTTGAATCAAGCGTGCCTGAAAGATAGCTACCCCATTCCACACATTGATTACATGGTAGATGCTACATCGGGACATCAACTTATGAGTTTCTTGGATGCCTATTCCGGCTATAACCAAATTCCCATGCACCCTGATGACGCTGAACATACCTCGTTCTACTCAGCTCGAGGCCTTTATTGCTATCTCATGATGACTTTTGGATTGAAGAATGCAGGGGCCACATACCAAAGGTTGGTCAATAAGATGTTTGCTCGTTTGATCGGCCACACGATGGAAGTTTATGTGGACGACATGTTAGTGAAATCAGAACAGGCCTCTGATCACATCGCCCATCTTTCCGAGGTCTTAGATATTCTCCGAGAGTATTCTATGGTGCTTAACCCCAAGAAGTGTACTTTTGGAGTTGGATCAGAGAAGTTTTTGGGATACATGGTGAGTCAAAGAGGGATCGAAGCCAATCCTGCTAAGATTCAAGCCATACTTGACCTGGCTCCCCCGACATCTGTTAAGGGTGTCCAAGCTTTAACTGGTCGACTGGCAGCTCTAAATCGATTCATTTCAAAGTCGACAGATCATTGCAAGTCGTTCTTTGACGCTATCAAAAAGAAGAAGTCGTTCGAATGGACCGTAGAATGTCAGAATGCTTTTGACAACATCAAAGAAATTCTCTCACGGTTACCGACGTTGCAGAAACCACTTCCTGATGAACCTCTGTATTTGTACCTTGGTGTAAGTGACGTTGCTGTTAGTGCCGTTCTTATACGACAAGAAGGGCTTCAACAGTTCCCTATATATTACGTTAGCAAGGCTTTACATGACGCTGAATTGCGATATCCATATATGGAGAAGTTAGCCTTTGCTCTGATCACCGCTGCACGGAAGCTGCGCACATATTTTCTAGAACATTCAATTATCGTGTTTACGACATACCCTCTCCGACAAGTCCTTCACCGACCTGACACGTCGGGAAGAATGATTAAGTGGGCGATAGAACTATCAAAGCTCAAGTGTTGTCTGATTTCATTGCTGAATTTACTCCCACTATCGATGTATCCATCGGAGAACCGACATGGACTCTCTACATCGATGGATCGTCCACCACTATACGAGCTGGAGGAAGGATTGTTTTAGTTAGTCCTGATCAACAAGTGTTTTGTTACTCTGTAGCATTCACCTTCCCGGCCACTAACAACGAAGTCGAGTATGAGGCCCTCTTATCAGGCCTACATTTTGCTGAATCCATGAATGTTTCCTCTCTCCGAATATTTTCTGACTCCCAGTTACTAGTCAGCCATATCAATGGCACTTATGAAGTTAAAGAACCGCTGTTGTTGCCTTATTTTGATCTCGTAAAGAAGAAACTGTCACGGTTCAAAATGACGTTGGAGCATATACCTCGGTCATCCAATATTCAGGCAGATGCTCTCTCACGACTGGCCTCGTCGACCGATTTAAATAATGTCGAGTTCGTGCAAATTACTCAACAGGCGACCTCATCAACAGACTCTACCGACGTCGTCATGGTTGACGCCGCCCCACCAACTTCAAATCCAACGTGGATGGATCCAATCGTCGACTTTCTTCAAACCGGGGCCATACCTGAAGACCCGAAAGAAGCTCGCACTCTTCGTGTTCGTGCTGCTCATTTCACTATTGATCAGGGAACGTTATATAAGCGTGGATATTCTACCCCATTGCTTAAGTGTTTGACAGAGATTGACGCTCAACGAGTTCTTCAAGAAGTACACGAAGGAGTCTGCGGTACTTATCAAGGAGCTCAAGCCTTATCCCACAAGATTCTCCGACAAGGCTATTACTGGCCAACTATCAGAAAAGATGCCGCAGACTGGGTGCGAAAATGCCACAAATGCCAGATATTTGCCCCTAACAATAATCAACATCCTGAACTCCTCAAGTCAATTTATAGCCCGTGGCCGTTTGCGAAATGGGGAATTGATTTGATCGGCCCACTTCCAACAACAAAAGGATGTGTTCGGTTTGCAATACTAGCTACTGACTACTTCACTAAGTGGGTTGAGGCCGAGCCTCTTGCGACCATCACGGAACAAAAGATGATCGATTTTGTATGGAAGTCAATCGTTTGCCGGTTTGGAGTACCGAATTCCATCATAACCGACAACGGTCGACAGTTTGAAGGGAAGCGATTTGAGAGCTTTTGTGAAGATTACGGCATCAAGCACTTCTTCTCGTCACCTTATCACCCACAAGCTAATGGACAGATAGAAGCTGTAAATAAGATTATCAAGAATGGTCTGAAAACTCGGCTCGAAGCTGCAAAGGGATCATGGCCTGACGAGTTGCCTTATGTCCTCTGGTCTTACCGGACGACGACGAGAAATTCGACTGGAGAAACTCCGTTTTCGTTAGCATACGGGACTGAATCTGTGATACCGGTTGAACTTGCTTCTCCGACATATCGGGTCACTCACTTCTCTGAAGAAACCAACTCGGCAAACTTGAAAGCCAGTCTCGATTGTTTTAGTTAGTCCTGATCAACAAGTGTTTTGTTACTCTGTAGCATTCACCTTCCCGGCCACTAACAACGAAGTCGAGTATGAGGCCCTCTTATCAGGCCTACATTTTGCTGAATCCATGAATGTTTCCTCTCTCCGAATATTTTCTGACTCCCAGTTACTAGTCAGCCATATCAATGGCACTTATGAAGTTAAAGAACCGCTGTTGTTGCCTTATTTTGATCTCGTAAAGAAGAAACTGTCACGGTTCAAAATGACGTTGGCGCATATACCTCGGTCATCCAATATTCAGGCAGATGCTCTCTCACGACTGGCCTCGTCGACCAATTTAAATAATGTCGAGTTCGTGCAAATTACTCAACAGGAGACCTCATCAACAGACTCTACCGACGTCGTCATGGTTGACGCCGCCCCACCAACTTCAAATCCAACGTGGA